AAATCCAAATTGTCCTCAAACATACAAAGTGTTTATTTTTTACAATGTGTACCAATATTCTTTCATTTCAATGACATGATCAAGCTAATTTTTACTTCTACTCCACATTAAAATAAATTACATCTCCACTAAAGTACATGTATATAGTCAATAAAATTTATTGATTACTATTTGGTGACTGCACTGACCATGACTAGTTATTGAATACAGTATGTCCCAGGGTGTTTGATGAAAACAGAGTCTTTTGGAACTACGGGATATTATGAAACATTGTTAGCAAAAATGGAAAAATTGTATAGGTCAGGTACTAAAACCAGAAACAAAATAAACAAACCAGGGCTGCAAATAATTTTTTTTCTCTTGAAAGGACATATGTCCTACTAAAACACCATCTTGGTCAGACAAAACAAATTGTGGTTGGGCATCACCAAAAAAGTAAGATTTACTCACAGTAGATCTTTATTCACCCTTACTGTAAAGTAATTTACAATAAAAAATTGTCCAGACATCATCTCCACCCACAGTTGGGATTTCGTTGGACATGAGCAAATTTTGGTCGGCCAATGACCAATGACCGACTAATTTGCAGCCCTGCAAACAAAATGAAACAACAAGATAGCACTCGGGTTAGCCCTATAAAACTCTGGTTAGCCTGAATTAAACACTCAAGTTACAGTTGGCTGTTGACAGTTGTGAGGAGTTTCATTTCAGTGGTTTCTTTTTGAGTTTTGTCATTGCCATCAGTGGTAGGGAAATATTTTTAAAATTGCACAAAGCTGCCTAGAGATGTAGCTTGAAAATCTGGTTCATTAAAAATCCCAGTGTGCTCTTCTAGTCTATACCTTGTTTTTATTGATCTTTTTTTCTGTCTATACCTTGAACTTATTGATCTTTTTTCTGTATTGATTTTTTTTTTCCAGTGATAAACTTTGGCCTTTTATAAAAGTTAAGTTAGGCATTCCATCCACATTTGTCATCTGTCCTTCTGTGTATATGCCAGGGGTGGGTTGAGAAATGTTGCTTTTGCCGATGGTCTCATCTAAATTGTCAATTCTTCTAGGCAGGCTTCAGGCACTCAGCTTGCAAACTTTGCTTCATCAAGCATTTGAATGAATTCCTAAAAGAACACTATAGACGTAATCACCAACAAAGTACTGTACTGTAAAGTATTTTGTGCTCGCCTGACAAAATTAAGTGTTGTAATTGATTTATTTTAGGTAGAGCCAACAACTGTGTCAAAAATTCAAGTTTGACAGCTTGCTAGCCAGCACAGAGTTTTTGCCAAGTGGGCCTAGAAATATAAAAAATCAAGTGTAGGAACAAAACAAATCTTGCCTTGCTAAACTTTATGCATTTGAATTGGTGTTCAAGCTTTGATTTTTGTGGNCCATCCACACTTGTCATCTGTCCTTCTGTGGATGTGCCAGGGGTGGGTTGAGAAATGTCGCTTTCACCGAGTCGTGCGATGGTCTCATCTAAATTGTCAATTCTTCTAGGCAGGCTTCTGGTACACAGCTTGCACACACTGCTTCATCAAGCATTTGAATGAATTCCTAAAAGAACATTATGGAGGTAATTACCAATAAAGTAGAGTACTGTAAAGTATTTTGTGCTTGCCTGACAAAATTAAGTGTTGTAATTGATCTACTTTAGGTAGAGCCAACAACTGTGTCAAAGATTCAAGTTTGACAGCTTGCTAGCAAGCACAGAGTTTTTGCCAATTCAAGTGGGCCTAGAAATAAAAAAAATCAAGTGTAGGAACAAAACAAATCTTGCCTTGCTAAACTTTATGCATTTGAATTGGTGTTCAAGCTTTGATTTTTGTGGTCTTTTCCATATTTACGCATATTTTTGTTCTTGGAATAATAAGAAATAAAAATATATTTCTATACAAGCAGACCCTTGCATCTCTATTTTATTTTATCCTCTCCTGCTCTTCACTTGGCCCGTTGTCAGTCTGATATGGCTGTGTTCTTCAGCCACAAATGAAGCTGTACTTGCACCAGCCTTGACATGAAAAAAAGAGTAACGTCAAAGCTGTTGTCCTTTGTATCAGTATATGAAAAATCAAACTCTCCTAGGAATCTTCTCAGCTCAAGGGAAAGACAATTCAAACTGCAAAAACTCGAATCTGCTCTATGCTTGGTGAAATGTTTGGCCTAAATGAAAAAGACATGCTGTACACATGAATATACATGTATGTACATATGAAGACTTGAACACAAACAGAACCAAAAATAGCCAGAAATCTAGTTGTTCCATTTGCGTGCAGCCTTCAATACCTACTTACAAACAATGTTACATCAAAGCTAAGTGCATAAATAAGGAATCTCACCGTGTTTTCGACACGGATTTGCTGTCGAACCACACGTGCACTCACTTCCACATCTTGCAAGGGCAGCCACGATTTGCATTTGTTTCCTGTTTCGTGGAACAAGCGCTTTCGCACGAACAGGAGATGCGATTTTCCTATGAGGATAACGATAGAAGAAAGAGAAAATGGACGTTGCGTCCGAGCATATTGAAACATACTAGCAAAAGTATGGCTTGGTGACATAACAACACAAGTTCACGAGGCTTGCTCAACA